AGGATTGGCGTGTGCAATTGCGAAGCAGAAAGTAGGTTTGTCGACTGTAGGCATGCATTCGGAGAGGTCAACCATATGACTCCACAGAAGTGTTAATCGCTTGCTCATGCACACAGTACGGCTTCCTGTGCACCTGCTGCCATTGGTGACTTCAATTATTGGACGCACCTACCACTGACTCCACAATGTCATCCACAAGTGCAGGCTATACTGTTGGCTATTAAGTGCAAGTTGGCTTAACAAGTGCGTATGATTATGGCAACTTTGGCATGGATGCGCATTCCCATCCCTATCCCCTCCATTTCATATCCTTCATGCATTTCAAACAAAGGTACTCTTGAAAAGGAGGTTACAAACAAGTAGAGATTGCTAAGCCGATTCGCAAGAGATATTTGCCTTTAAATTTGACAGCAATAGTCAAGCAGTATCGTCGAGAATAAACGCAATTTCATTCTTCTAAATAGTTTACACACTTGCCACATACGTAAGATTATGATATGTGATGCCATGCGGAATGGCAACACTTACTAACCCCTGTGCCTGGTGGATCAAACTGTCTAACTGGTGCATCTCAAAGGCAAACCTAGAGACATTCCTTTTTCCATCATTGCCGATTATGTGGGGTCAGGAGGCAAATGCTTAAAAAATGGTCACAGCCTGCTTGATGCACGATGCTGTTCCTTTTTCAGAAGACGATCTGGCAGGCGACCGCATGGTCTTTCGAAGCACAAAATGGACTTTATTGAATTCTACTGCAGGCCGATTAAGTTGGGATCAAAAAAAATTGTCTGAAATCGGAGTAAATAGCATTGACGCAAGTGTTACACCAATTTATGTACACGGCCCCACTATTGAAGATAAAGCTGACGTCAAAACCGGAAATATCATATTTTATGGATTGATGCAAACCACCGATTACCAGTTGAACTTGAAAGCGCTTCGGACTGGAAGAACTGCTTTATATAACACAATTCACTTTACAACAGGGTCAGCTGGTAGGTCTAATGCGTCTTATATCCAATGCATTCCACTGCATGCATTCAGAGGTAAATGGAAAAGATGGCTTGAAATTGAGGGCATAGGCAGAGGTAAAGTACCTTCACAGCCTTCACTGGTGTTACAGCGTCCTTCACTGTATGCGACGCCTCCAAGTTGAAAACTCATTGCACTGTGACTTGGAAATGTCTTATCATTTCCATCCCACTAATCGTTTCACATCACATCAGCCTTGGAAAGCGGTCACATTACAAAGAGAAAATTAAGCTGCAGTGGAGTGAACCAACTCACTTGCTCCAGTGAGATGCTCTAGCTTCCTGTTTGACTTGCGCATTCGCAGGAAAACTCGAATAGAATGGTCATTTAGGCTGTAAGTCCGAACATGAGGAGTCAGTAACCCTCATGCGTAGTGAACCGAGCATTTCAAATATTTTACCCTGAGGACAATCACAGTGAAGTTCTCTTCCTCACTACTACCACTGGTATGCCGTTAGGCGTAAAAACTGCACATTCCATTAGCACCATGTTAAATGTGCAGTGACTTATTATTTTTCAGAGGATGACAAAATTACCACTACAACAGGGACGACTGGTAAGTTGAATTTGTTCCGCATGCATTGCCTTTTGTTCCTTTCATTCACACATAAACTTGGATAAGAATGATCAAGTTGAAAGTCCAAACATGAGGAATCAGTGGTCCTCATAGCGACCCACAGACCCTTACCCCCAGTCCAATGCACGAGTTGAATGCCACATCTTCAAGGCAGTCCCAGAGAAGTTCTCTTAATTACTACAAATATTGTTGCTGTCTTAACAGTAAATTCTTATGAATTCCGTGGGTAAGTGAAGCGAAAAGACCGCAGCACATTTGCTGTGCAATACATCATTGATATCTCAATACACTGACAATGCCAAGGAGGGCAAGGACAGGAGAGACCTCAGGGTCATGTGCGGTCACAGGCAATTCAGTTGAGTTGGAATGTGCAAAGTGCGGCTGAACAACAAGTAGACCTAATCGAGCTAAATTTAGTGTCACTTCTCTTCCTTGGCTTGCAACGTGTACCGTTGTACAATTCCCACTTAGCACTGTCACCGTCGACTCACTACAGCTCCACAACTCATGCCAGGTGACTGTGCAGGCGATTGGGGTTGAAGGCTACTGGTGCGTGTGTTTATGCTATGCATCTCCACCTCCAACCATACTACTTACTACTACCTCCTATCCGTATTGGCATGTCCTGCTTCATGACATGAGAAAATTCGTAGAGCGAACCACAAAGAGGGACTCATCATTGCCCGTCACTGCACAGTTTACACATGAGCCATGTCCGTTGCCTTTGCGACATTGTTGAAAGCATCCTCTTTCTGTAGAAGGGAAAGAAGGTGGTGCCTCGTCTGGTGGATTCGCCTTATCTTCCACAATCTCTGCAGCCCTACTTGCTTGCATGACGATGGTCCTTGCTTGAACTCTTCAGTAAGTTAGGGTTCATTGCCCACCCTTTTAACTATTCCCCCTTAGATCTGCAATAACCGAGGCAATCATTTCCACTGTAGGTTTGAACGGAGCAAGGATTGCATCGGTCACCAAGCACTTATACTTACAATAATGTGATTTCACGTAGTGGATACCATCTGATTGACAAATACAGGACATAGTTATTGCTTAACTGGCTTTTGCAATTTTTGATCAAATTTCGGTGACTGGGAAGGGGTGTACTGCTGTTAGCGAAATGGGGCACAACTTTTGAACTGCAGTCGCTGCAAGGCACAAGTAAGCTTGTGTTTTCCTTACATCGGTGGGCCACCTCATGCAACCAATTGTGTTAATTCTCCCAAAAAGGCTGAGGCACCACTGAATTCGGTGTTTTCTACCAACCTGAATGTCCAGCCACAACGTGCAATGAGGATGAATTGCGAGGCCATATGGTAGAAGTTGATGGGCTGTTGAGGGTGTGAGTCAATTTCAATAATCTTGTCGTATCATCGTGTGACACGCATTAAAACAGAACAATTTGGTGCCGACACCTGAAGCCATTAATGCTGGATTTAAGGTTACTCAAGAAATTTTTGCCAAATTTGATTTTCCATTCACAATGAAAACGATTGTGTGAGTGTGTAGAATGAATCATGGCCTCCAATTTTCATTTCTGCATGCCATCACACAACTTGCTGCTTAAAATCGCCCTTCATTCTCGCATTGAAAGTTCTTGTTGGAGTGTGATTTCAAATTATTCATGTCCTTGCAAATTTCATTTGTCACTCTACAACTATGAGTAGGGGTATATCCTGCAAAGCGTGAGTGGATTGAGGGTGTAGAAGGAAGAGAGTTCAATGCTGCTTTGCATTTGTCGAAATTTACCCTCGTATTTGAGTCTCGGAGTCACATCACTCCACTGGCTGGATAGATGAAATCATTTGACTCTCCTTACCACACCACTGCATTTCATTCTTACCCTCCGATGATGCTCTGCAAATGTTGACACACCGACCGTTAGGCCACACATGAAATCGAACCTAAGCATTCAAGTGAGGTAGCACGATATCTAAGGCAATGTGACGTTCTTGTGTCTGGCAAGACATCTGCCATACCAATCCTTCCAATGTTGTCGCGGGTTCTGAGGGTCAGACTGGAAGAGCTCGTGAATGGCTCGTGCCCATGGCTGATATAATGACTGGAGTACAAACGACAGATTGGCGATTAGTCAACTAGAAGAGGTTTAGAGTTGCTCTATGCGAACGGACGAGAATAAATGTACATTCTCGCACGCATCTCCCTCTTGAGGTGTTTTTCACGTTGCTGTAAGCGAATTCCATGTTATGAGGGAGGAAAGTGGATTGG